ACATTGGACTTGGTCTGTCATACAAAAGAAGCCAAAAGCTCAGGTTTTCTTGGGGAGTCTCCTGTTTTTCAGAAATTAAACATTTTTAAACATAGTTTGGACCAAGAAATCTCTTAACTGGTTGAGTGCCTTCCTGTGCTATCTGTTAGAACTTTAAATTTGCCTCACAAAAGCTCAGTGACAGCTCCCAGGCCCAGAATTCCAAGCCCCAGGACTGACTCCTCCCCCCCCCAAAAAAAAAACAAGTGCAATCCATTTTCAATATAGAAAAAGACTTGTCCTCAAATATTTCAGAAAAACTTGGATTTTATGATTTTGAGACTTCCTTTTATATCTGTGGAGTAAAATTGGTGATCATGAATTACCAAAAAAAAAAAAAAAGCCACCTCAGCAAATCACGTTCTAGTGCATAATAAAGTAATCTAACAATAAAGAGGCATAAATATAGAATAGTAAGCAGTGTGAGTATCTGTTACTAAAGATCTTAATACTGGGTTCATCTATCAAATTAGGATGTGATTATCACTTTAAGGGTGGTAATGCTTTTTGTGTGTGTGTGCGGGTCCTAGGACTTGGATTTAGGACCTGGATACTCTCCCTGAGCTTTTGAAAGTGGCAGGCTAGTGCTCTACCACTTGAACCATAGCTTCTCTTTCGGCATTTTGGTGGTTTATTGGAAGTAAGATTCTCACACTTTCCTTCCCAGGCTGGCTTCAGACTGTGACCCTCAGATCTCAGCCTCTCAAATAACTAGGACTACAGGTGTGAGCCACTGGCACTAAACTCATGGTAGTACGTTTTAAATGAGAATATGGCAGTTAATGCTTATTGTTGGAAGTATAATTCTAACTCATTGAATGTTAACTTCTTTTCTGTTTTCTAGGAGAACTAGATATTTGATCTTTTCTAGGCCATTTTGATCCAACTTAGGGCTTTGATTTGACCATTTTTCAAGTTTAAATTGTGTTTAGTATATTCTTGTTCATAAAATATTATTCACAATAATTAGAATGTAGTAGTAACTCAATTAGAGAAGAATGAGCACTCAAACATAGTGTATATTTACAACACGATATTCACCCTTAAAAGGAATTCTGACACTTTACTACCACATAGGTGAACCTTAAAGACATTATGAGAATGCTAATCCAGTCACAAAATTGCAAAGACTATGTGATTTTACTTATGTGAGGTAGTAAGAACAGTCAAACATACAAATACACACACACACACACAATGTTTGTTCTAAAGAGGCCACCATCTTCTGTGTATAGCTACTTACATATTCACTGTCTGGCAGCTAAGAATGTTTTGCCTCCTTAAAAATATTTTTAAATGGTTATATAATTACCCCCAGCACTTGTCTAGCATGTACAGTACAAGGTACTGCCCACATAATAACCTTTGATCTCAAAGCCTGAAATATTTACTATTGGTACTGTTTAAGAGAGATTTGCTTATCTCAAGAAATTATCACTCTAATGGCTAAGTACTGTCATTAGTCAGTTCTATATAAGAAACATGGCAATTAAATGTTTATTTTGGGCCTCATTTTGTACTTAGAAATGGTATTCTTGTTCTGTTGTCTGCAAGAGTTATGTAAGGATCCAAGATAAGGGGTAAAACTAAACATAAGTCTCAGTTTGTTTTGCTTCATAGAGATTAACCATTGGCCTTATTTACTTACTTTGTGTTCAAAGCAAGTGTATTTGCTAATGTACTTCCTCTGCTTAGTTGGGCAGAAAACCTAAAGCACGCCTTTAAGCTTTCCTAACAAACTGACAAGTTGGGGAATGCTGGAAAGACTTAACACTTAAAACTGGCTGGTATGTGGTAAAAGGGTACTCTGAGTAAGATTTAACTATGTGCTTGGTGAATCAGGTGCTGCAGTTACTGGCTATATCCTAGCTGGAGTTAAATTTTTCTATCTAATCTTTAGAAGGAAGTAACTAATTTCATTGTCTTGAAGGAAGCTTTTATTTTTATTAGAAAATAGAAAGCTTTCTGGGCAACCAGTTATTTGCAGGAGACAACGTACACCAGTAAACCTGAGAACTAGTCTGAGATTTCTCCCACAAACAAAAACTCTGTTTTTAGGAAACTCACAGCAAAGGATCGATTCAAAGAAATGGTTTCCAGCTCTTCTCATATTAGTGGTCAAGGGCTTGTGTTCCAGTGATAGTGCTTTCCTAACACAGGAGGCCCTGAGTTCAAGCCCCAGTTCTGCAAAAAATAAAAACAGAAACAAGCCAGTGGACAGTCTTCTCTTTTTTTTTTTGCGGGGAATGGTCATGGGGCTTGAGTGGTTAATTGGAGATAAGAGTCTCATGGGAACTTTTCTGCCTGGGCTGGATGTGAACTGTGATCTTCAGATCTCAGCTTCCTGAGTAGCAAGGATTGCTGGTATGAGTCATCGGTGCCAAACCAATCTTTTTTTTTTTTTTTTTTTTAATCATTGCTGGGGATAAAATCAGAGGCTTCATATGCAAGCCTTCTACCACTGAACTACAGTCTCAGCCCAAGTGGCTTCATTCAAGTCCTTTGGGTCTGTAGAGGTCTAGAAGTTCACATGAAGTTGAATGTTTATAGGAAAGTGTCTGCAAGAGAATATTGAGTTTTCAATTTTCTGCCTCTGTCATTTTTCTACTAACTTTGATAGCGGTATCTTGGCCTTTGTTTTGGGGATTCAGAGTAAAATTCAGTGTAATTTAGAGCATATTTTGCTGCCTGATTTAGAGAACTTGTAATACATTCAAAGTTTAGATCTTATAACTAAACCATAGATATCTTTGGCATTTCTTCTCCCATGCCTCAGTTTGCTTTTTGGACCTTAGGATTTTGGTATAAGTATCATTTTCAGTCCTACAATTCTTTCTCAACATACTAGTCCAAGACACAAAATTTAACCTTATTTTTTTGGTATAAGTATCATTTTCAGTCCTACAATTCTTTCTCAACATACTAGTCCAAGACACAAAATTTAACCTTATTTCTAAACTGAGATCATTTTGTTAACTTAATGAGTTCACAGTATTTTACAATTTTTAAAAATTCCCAAGCACATTTTAAATAAGCTTCAGATTCAACTGCTATGTGTTAGTCAAGGTAACAAACGATATGGACAAATGTCAAGGAGATACCTCCTGTTTACTTTGATTTGTGGGACTTTTTCCGTAATGTTTTGATCCCTTTCCTCCACACTTGGCAGCTGTTGATGTCTACAGTTTGAGTCTGTTTAAGGGAGATAGTTGTTGCAGGATTAAGGGTGGGACTCAAATGGTAGAGGGCCTGTCTAGTTAGTGTACAGCTCTTGAGTTTAATCCCCTATACTGCTATAAGAAAAGAGGAGGAAGAGGAAAAAGAGAGAAGGAAAAATTAGGAAAAAGATCATTTGTGACATTTCACAAGGGGAACCTAACTTAGAAGCAGGTCAGCTATCAGAAGTCTTCAGACTGGAGAGATTCTTGCAGGGAGTGGCCCTTTAATGTATCAGCTGAAGCCATCTGGTGGACACTCACTGCAGAAATGTTCCTTTTGAAGTGTCTTAACACAACAAGTCACTGAAGTTCACAGAAGCAAAGGCTTCTAGTGAGGTTACTGCCATAGCTTAACCTCATTTTGTCTTAACATACAACCTGAACAAGCACTCTATAAACTCAGTATAGGTCATCTGAAGTCTCCCATCCATACTTGCAGGAGAGTATTCCATTTTTTAAGTTCCTTTTGGAAACCTTTTTCCTGTGGAGTTTCTTAGTTTTTCCTTACCTTACCACATAAAGAGAAACTACGACTATCAGGACCATAGCCATTCGTTGAAGCATTTTGTGTTAAAAATTTTCTGTATAACTTCCTTATTTTTCACTTGAAAAAAGTTATTAGTAGTAGTTAAGTCTTCATTTTTTTCCCCCAGAGTATGATGGTCAGTGCCTCTTGTTAGTATGAGAGACTGGCAGAAATGAGGGTGTATTCGTCAGCACCTGATTGCAGCCATCTTATTACTACTCCTTGAGTCAATATTTGGAGGATATGTCCAGAGTCCAAAGGCTGCTAAGACTGTTTCCATACTGGCTGTTTACATTACTATGACTATCAAGAAAATGAGGGGTTGGAGGCCTTACACAGTTGGTAGTGTGCTATAAGTTAGATGAGTAGAAATTACATCATTAATTAATCTTGGTGCTTGCAGTTACAAACCGAAGTTTAAAGTTGGGGTAATATGAATGTGAAATTACAAAAATGTATTTATATTAAACAAGTAGTTTAGGGAATTTATTTCCTGGACATAAGTTTTAGTTTCTTTAAAAACTTTTCCTGTTTGAAATGGGATATATATTTTTAGCCAAAATGTATGTATTGGGACAGTTTCCCACTCATCTTGGTTCATAGTACTTTCAGTGCTGCTTCCTTCTGAAGAATATCCTTCCTAAGCCTCACTTGTTCCTCCTATAGACTGGCAGAGGACACAAAACTACTGTTTATGCATGGCTAAAGACCGTGGTAATTTTATAGCATCTTGAGCATTTTACATGCTCCACACCAGGCACCACTTGTATTTCCTCCTCTTAAGGAGAGGGATGAAGGAGATACTTTGCAAGAGGCATGTTCTCGGGAGGAGGTCACCTCCACCGGAAAGGCAGAACATTTTTTAAGTCCATAGTTTTCTCCACAAAGTCTTTCCATCTTACCCTACTTTTATCTAAACTTTTGATGCTGGGACACTGTGTGGTAGAAAACGATTTCAGGAAGGCACTGGTGGCTCACATCTATAATCCTAGCTACTCAGGAGGCTGAGATCTGAGGATCACAGTTCAAAGCCATCCTGGGTGGGAAAGCCCATTACTCTTCTCTCTAATTAACCACCAAAAATGGCATTGTGGCTCAACATGGTAGAGCACTAGCCTTGAGCAAAAGAGCTCAGGGAAAGAGCCCAGGCCCTGAGTTCAAGGCTAATGATCAACTAAAAAATAAAGCTATTTCATTTTCTTTTCCTTCTCTCCCAGGTGGCCTTCGAGGGGTAGCACGAGGTGGACTGGCAGGACTAACACTTACCAGCCTCTATGCACTGTATAACAACTGGGAGCACATGAAAGGCTCCTTGCTCCAACAGTCACTTTGAAGATTTTTGCCACCTCGGAAACTGAGGACACTTCAGTAATCTTTCAAATCAATTAAGTCAGTCTGGAGTTAAGTGCCCTCTTCTACCTACAACTACTTTCAAAAATTGGAGGTTGTGATTTGCTGTGGTGAAGATCATGAATGGTTGACCAGGACCGGCACTCCTTTCCCTTAATGAGCTGAAGCCAAAAATCCTTTGGTAGCTCACTCAGTAATGTGGTTCTCCTTTGGAGATGATCTTGGACCTGTCCTCTCATCCTACCCTCTGAACTGGAAAACCACTCCCAGAATTCAGGTCCTGCTTGTTGTCAATATTTTATCACCAAGTGTATTTAATCATCTGAAACTGTAATGCTGCCCATGTTCCAAATAAAGGGTGAGAATAGAACCAAAGTCATAACTCCAATCTAAACACAGTTGATATCTGTTTAAAAAAAACATCTTTCCTAGATATAAGGTGAAAGTTAAAAGTTACTCTTGAGCCAGGCACTGGTGGCTCATGCCTGTAATCCTAGCTACTCAGGAGGCTGAGATCTGAGGACAGTACAAAGCCACTCCTGGCAGAAAAGGCTGTGATCTTATCTCCAATAAACCATTCAGAAAACCAGAAGTGGCACTGTGGCTCAAGTGGTAGAGCGCTAGCCCTGAGCTGAGGGACAGGGCCCAGGCCCAGAGTTCAAGCCCCACAACCAACAAAGAAATAAAAAATAAGTTACTCTTGGCTTATTTTTTTTCTTGCCTAAACCAGTTCAAAAGAAAATATATTTTCCCTGTTTATACTGAATTGAAGGCTTACTGCTGCCATTAACAGCTTGGGTAAGGTTTTTTTTCTCCCAACAGCTGACATTAAGCAGCCTCAGGGTATGGTTAATCATTATTGGAGCATGCTGTAGACAGTAATTCACTCCTTTCTGGAAATAATTGTGGGCTGCAGTTTTTCTAAGAAGACTTGTAAAGCTAAAGGCAAGCTATTTGAGTTTGTTTTCTTATCCAAAAGATGAAATTAATAAGTAAACTACACTGCAGAGTACACACAGAAACAGTAATACTAAGGAACTTGGAGCTGTGCAGTTGGAAAAAAGCACATACTCAGTAAAAGAAAATGGTGACATTTATGGTGTTAAGCTCCATAAAGTAGATTTGAATGAGTTTGGGGGGAGAAAGTTGAAATGGAAGTAATTACCTGTACTTTGCTAACTTAAGATTCATAAGTTATGCTGATAGAGAAATATACACATTTATATGTTTAAATTGTTTCATGGCTATATTCTAACCAAAGGTTATCACGTACTTCCAAACAACGTATCCGTTTCATAAAGACACCAGTTTCATAAAGACACATACGACCATGGTGTGGCTGTTATGCTTTTAATGGAGAGGTATAAAATGCATCAATGCAAAAGAATGTTTCACATACTTGTCAGCATAGTGATTAATAATGTAAAATACAGTGTTTAAGAGCTCAAAAGAGAAACCACAAAATTTTCTGCAACCTAAGATGCTGGAAAGACTCAAGTTGGTTTGAACCCACCACCTTTATGTTAGTAATTCTCAATGGTATCTGAGGGGGGGGGAGGAGAAGACAATAAAGGCTCTTTATAGTTGTGGTTCAAAGAGTTGTAGTAAAACTGTATGGCAGAGTCAACTGTGTCACTGAAGTATTTCCAGTAACGTAGGCAGTTAGGAAGTTTGATAGTTTCAAAGCCCAAAAGGCAGTTGAGATCTTGCAGAGAACTTTTAAACATAAATCCCACTTCTCTCCTACAAAGAAACTTAAGGATGTTGATAAAATGTCAACAGTTTTCATAAAGTTTCAATAAGCACCCCAAGGCACAAGTGTTTAAAACAGCCTGTTCACACAGTACTATTTGGGAGATTCAGGAACACTTGATTGCAGTGATAGGACTTCGACTTTATCCCCAGTTAAAAGCACCAGGTGTCAAGCTTAGATTCCATTTACACAGGATGCACCAGTAATCCTAGGGTAATGACTGATTCAAGTACTAGATTTCCAACTCTCACCTTTTTCTCTTAGCGCTGGGATTCTTTTAAAGCATATAAGGTCTGTATATGATGACAGAAGCCAAGACTACCTTGAAAATGGTTCTGAAACAAGAGTCCTCAAACAGCTCAATGGATACTTTAATAACATTCAGAGAAAGGAATAAAGGCAAAATCTTCAGTAACTGCATTTCAAATAATGAAAAATTAATAGAAATAACATGTAGGCTAAAATGTCTGATAGTTAATGTCATTAAGAACAAAACCTACTAAATTGACAAGGTTAATTACTTGTGTGAACTATCCTATAAATTAATTGAACAGAATAATCACTTGTTTTTGGACCACTAGAAGAAAGCCCATAGCAAAAGAAGTATCTAAAGGGCAGTCAAAAGGTTTGAGAAGTTTACTGGCTTTAGGAGACACTAGCGCACCTTGATTATAAAATACTTCACTTCTAAAACTACAGTGTTTTTGTTGTTCTAGTAACCACTCAATCTGAGCTGTGGAAGCTGGTGAAAACCTGCCCACCAAGATGCTGTATTTCTAGTGGGGAGAGGTGGGTGTACTAAGTGAATACTTCAGTAAGAAAGACTGTCACCTCAGCATCAACAAATAGCCTTTCTTTTATAAAGCAACTCATAATTTGATGACTTCACTAGTTTAAAGTCAGACATAAAAGAAGTAAGCTCATTGATCAGACCTAGAAATACAATGATTTGGCAAACTGCAGTCACTCAGCTCGTGGATGTGTGATAATCTGCAGAAAAGCTGTTCGACTCTCACAATCCATTCCATCACATCTGTTTAAAAAAAAAAAAAAGTCCACAGATAAGTCACCTCACTAGAGAAATTCTCCCTACCTTAAAACCGACTCTTAGAATTATGATCCACCCAGGATTTGAAGTTACATCTTGAAAAGTCACTTTCATATATGCTAAGTTAGAACATTAAGTCCAGTGTTTGAAATTGTTAGGAGTTCCTCTCCTATCTACATAATAATAAACCTCAGAGAGCAAAGCATGACTTCATATGTGGGAAGAAACTACAATCTAATGCAGTGGTGACATTGTGCTCACCTGTAGAGGAGTTCGATATAGCCACTTTTCTTTATCAACTTTAAGCTGCATACAGGTGAAGAGATCACAAACTGCTGGGAGACCGTAACAGTCTGGGGGAAAGTTATGTTCCTCTTGTAGGGGTGAGTTAAGAAATACTTCCTGCACAAAGACAAAAGGGATGGGTTGCTTCAGGACAGCTGGACTAACAAGAGACTGGCTTAAATTCCCCTCCCAAATAGTTTGCCCTAAAGAAAAAAAGCAAATATTCATCATTCTTATAACCAAGAGCAAAGGCAGCAATTGTTTATTTGTACCCCAAGTCTTCAATGTGGATAGCAGCAAAACAGGCCTTGTTTGTTAGTTTGCAGAAGAGGGGTGGGGAGGGCTGAGAAGTGCATCAATAAATTTGAACATTTGTAACCAAGTACCAAAATTACTTCCTCTGCCAATTAAGCTTGTAACATATTTAAGGATCTGGCAAGGTCAGCCAGAGCAATTCTGATGTGTCTCACCTGGGCCTTCTTTCGAAGTAGCCACTTGTCTTCTCCTGTAGATAACTGGCTCAGGTTTCCCACCTTCTTGGCTGGCAAGACCCAATCAGCAGTGTTAAAGGGACTCCAGGAAGTAGTCATAGGGCTCTGAAGCTTTTGTTTGCCAGCTCTGTCCTCAGCACTAGACCTGGTAAGCCACTCTGATAAGGAACTATTCCATATGGCTTGGAAGGAATCGGAAACTCGGGCAGGAGCCAGGGCTCTGGGTGCCTTAGCTTGTTCTGTTACCTCTTTTCTGGAAGGACAGAGCCACACATTTAGGGATTCTTGGTGATTCCCAGGCTCAGGTCTGGCTTCCACAGGCATTCCATTTTTATCTTTCCCTTCTTTCTTCAGAAGCCACCTACACAGAGCTTCCTTCTCACAATTCTCATCACACACACACTCTGCAAAGCTTGTACAGGGCTCGTTGGCTTTGCATACTTCCTCTACTTTATATGTGTCCTGATGGCTCTGAACAAGCCAATCCTCAGTAATGCTGAGGGTGGACAGTGCTTTCTTGGTCTCCAAGTGGTCATTCAGGCACTTCAGATTGCCTAGGTTTTCAATCTCCACACCTTTGGGCTGGTTACCCTGACAGTTGGTACAGGAGTCAGGCTTGACAAGCCAATCATTCACACTGTAGGGCTCCTGGAACACCTGGAACAAGAGCTTAATTTTTTCACTGGTTTCATGGCTGCCATTCTCAGGCTTCTCAAGCTTGCAAGGTTCCTGAGGAGTCACCAGCCAATCTGACAGGTCCATCTCATCTTCATCAAGGAGCACTAGATCTTCTGCCTTTTCACCTTCATTGATAGAACAGCTGTTACACTTCTGGGAACTTGGCTTTCCAGGACCTTCTTGTTGCTGACTCTTCAGGAGCCAGTTTTCTAAACCCTTCAGGTTACCCCAGATATTACTGAAGAAACTGCAGGCTCCGGTAGAAGTCTACATAAGATGAACACAACATTAGTCTGCCAGAGTAATTATGATTGCCATTGTTTATACACTAACTTGCTCAGTATTCTCAAGTATGCAAAGCAAAGAGGTAAGAGATTTCTTTTTGATTATTAAATATGTATGACTACATAAATTACATTTTCTTAAGTTTTCAAGTACAAAATGAAAGCTAAATATTGTAGCTTATTTGACAAAATCAGAAAAAGACTAGCACCTCTACATAATGCCTTCATAAATAGACTGGACAAGTCACTGAACAATTCTAAAAAAGTGCTCATGCCTCAGAAATTCAAAAGATTCAAAAGCAAAAGTATGCCAAGTTCAGAGAAGAAACAATCTCATAAATGAATCCTACTGTTAAAGAGGTTTAATGGCAAATAAATATCTGGTAGTGGGACTATCAAATGTTACAAACTTCCTAGAAAGTAAAATTGGCAAGATGTATCTAACCAAAGGGTTAGCAATTTACTCCTAAGGAAATAAGAATGAACATAGATAAGTAGCTCCTAAATGTTTTAAGGGAGTTTTATGTCTAGAAAAACTGGAATCTAAGTTCTAGCCAAACAATGAAATGTTCTATAGAAAAAAAATATATTCAAGTTATAATTGTAGGAAAAAATATGCACACCAAAGCAGAGCTTACAGAATTATTTTCAAAAAGTATATGTACAGAAAAAGTACACATGTAGGGATTATGGGCTTGTATTATCTTTATAAATTATTTGCTAAGCATTCTAAAATAAAGAGATGTTCCTTTTGTAATTCATGATGTTTCCAGCTGGGCACCAGTGGCTCATGCCTGTAATTCTAGCCACTCAGGAGGCTGAGATCTGAGGATCACAGTTCAAAGCCAGCACTGGCAGGAAAGCCCGTGAGACTCTTTCTCCAATAAACCACCAGAAAACCGGAAGTAGTGCTGTGGCTCAAGTGGTAGAGTGCTAGCCTCGCATGAATGAGGCCCTGGGTTCAATTCCTCAGCATCACATAAGCAGAAAAGGCTGGAAGTGGCACTGTGGCTCAAGTGGTAGAGTGCTAGCCTTGAGCTGAAGAGCTGAGGGACAGTGCCCACACCCAGAGTTCAAGCCCCACATCCGAGACACGTGCATGAGACACGTGCACACACGCATGCGCGCGCACACACACACACACACGCGCGCGCGCACACACACACACATACCATGTTTCCAGATTAGTAACTACCATAGTATCTACATTACAAACAGTAATGGCAGCCACATACCTGATTGTTTGCCAAGGTCTGTTTTTGGGTGAGCCAGTCTTGAGGGTTAGTGCTGGGTGTGTAAGGATCGTGCCAGCCACTAGCAGGTTTGCTTCCAAGAAGCCATTCACTGAGAGGAAGAACAGTGCTACTGGATGCCAACTTCTGGAAGTCACATAAACTTTGCTGCTTAACCAGGTATTATTAAATGTTCATAAGAAAGTTCATCAGAAAAACAGGAGACACAGGTTCCTAGGTTGCTACTGACTGATTAGGTCACATGCCTTCCCTGAGCCTCAGTTCTTATAAACTTAAAATAAGGAATAAAAATCTCTAAGAGTTCTCAATTCAAATATCTAGATCTTTTTTATTCACCTTGATTTTGCAATAAGTCATCTCAGGGCTGGGAACATGGCTCAAGTGCTAGAGTACCTGCCTACCAAGCATAAAGCCCTTGAGTTCAAGTCCCAGGAACATTAAAACAAAAAACAACAAAACAAAAATCTTTGAATTAGAATGAGGATCCTCAAGAGAAAGCCAATACCAATAAGATAATAATTGATCATTTCCTATGAAATGATGGAGTGCCTTCTCTTATTTTAACAACTAAATTTCTATTTCACTAAATGCTTTAAGCAGTCACCTATATAAACTGGCAGCTTTTTTACAGTGACTCAATTATCAGAACCAAAATGAGATTTTTACCTGCTCTGGCATTGAGACATAACTTCTTTTCTCTATGAAGGTCCCAAAATTTGATGAACTGGCATGAGCCATCAGGTGCTCAGGAATTTGCTATAAAATTAAAACCATTTAAGCATGTTTATGCCACTTTCCCGCCAAAAAAAGTGAAACTACAATTCTAAATTTGAAAAGGAATTATCCAATCTGAGAGTTCTATTATTATCATATAAGGACTGACACTAGGTTTGGTAGTACCACTACTTTTAACAAGACCCAAATGAGAAAAAGCCATAAAGTTTATAAAAAGAAAATGTCCAGAATTTAAAGAGATAAAAGACAAATTCAAAGATTACCAATGAGATAATAGTACAGTGTAAGAACTGCCAGCCTAATGCACTTATTAATGAGATGCTCATCGTAATCAGAACAGGAAGCTTCTGTAGGTTACTGCTGCATAGTAAAAATAACTTGGTGAACAGACCTGTGGGGTCAGAACCCAGAGAGGCACCCTATGTAACACCCAAGCTCAATCTACTCACAATGGTCTTAAGGGACCCAAAGGTGGTGATGGTTTGGCGCAGAGAAGTTGTGTCTGCTTCAAAGAGAAGGACAGAAGAATCTTCAGGTTTCAGAGTCAAACTGCCCAGTCTAGGTAAAAATACAAATAACAAAAATTTAATTTACAACACTTAATTAAAAGTTTTCAAGGAATATGTATAATTTTGAAATGACTAGACTTTTCTAAGAAACTTAAAAGTAGATGGTTTACTCATTTATCAGAAAGTCTAAGTACATAAAACATGATCTTATCACAAGAAGAGAAATGTCAAGTTAAACCAACATATGAAAAGAATTGCAAATTGACTTTCTTATACTGAAGAAAAAAAGCCAGAAATAAAAACAATAAAAGGGGTCTTTACCTCTCCAGGCACACAGAGACTTGATTGGCTAGGTCTTTGTTTTGGGAACACTCCAGCTGGTGAATAAGACAATTGAACTGGCCCAATAACTACAAGAAAAAGTCAGGCAGTTACAGTGAAGTAACTAAGATAACAAACAGCATCTAGATTAAACTTTTAGGGGGTTGGGCACAGTGACTTGTGCCTGTATTCTCATCTACTCAGAGCCAAGATCAGGAGTATTTCAATTCTAGGCCAGTCTAGGCAAAATAAGCAAAATTCCTCATATGAATCATAAAGTAGGTATGGTCGCTATATGGAAAGCCACAACAAGAGGATCACAGTCCAAGGCTGGGGGGAAAAAAAAAGGGAGACCCTATCCAAAAAAAGCATAAAGGTCTAAAATGTGGTTCCAGTGGTAGCACAGTGACCTGAGTTTAAACCCAGAGAGATTAAATTTTATCTGATTTATATTAATGCTGCATTATGAAGAAGATATCCTCTGGAAACCAGAGTCTATACTCAGACCAATTCTAGTGTGCAGCTGCTTACCCAGTGGAGCTGCTGAGCCTGCTGCTGCAGCGTCTCCTCTTTAAGCTGATAGATGAGATCCACCTGCTCACACAGCCACACTTCTCGGCTCCGAAGGCATTCCAGGTGGCGACTGATGCAGCTGTGAATCTGGGCCTTCACCTAGAAAACACATTGGTTTCCCTGGTGTTAGATGCCTAAGGGAGGTTTCCTGCAAACAATAAGGTTTAGAAACTTTCATGGGTCAGATATCCTTCTGATTGTCCAATTACCTATGGGTGACTCCCCACAAAAAAGCACAGACTCAAAACTCTGCCTATAATTTCCAGCTTCAAGCCTGTAAGCTCACCCCACAAATTCCTATGATTTCTGGTTTTAAAACCCCAGCCATTGCTGGGCACCAGTGGCTCATACCTGTAATCCCAGCTACTTAGAAGGCTAAGAACTGAGGATCCCAGTTCAAAGCCAACATGGAAAAGGAACAGTCCATGAGACTGTTATCTCCAATTAACCGCCAAAATAGCCAAAAGTGGAGCTATGGCTCAAGTGATAGAACACTAGCCTTGAGTGAAAAAGCTCTGGGACAGCATCTAAACCCTAGGACTGGTGTATACATGCACACAGACACAGATACACACAGACACAACACACACACACACACACACTCTCTCTCTCTCTCTCTCTCTCTCTCTCTCTCTCTCCAGCCATCAAGGTATACTTAAGCTCTAAAATCTTTCTTCCTAAAAGGATTTGATTTTAAGTGTTCTAAAGTAATCGGGAGAAAATATAAAGATAGGCAAGAGGTATTAATCCCTCTCATTTCCCATCTAATTTTAAAACATAGCTTTACAAGCTCACCAGCAAACAAAGACTGATGTCTGGCCCTTACCCCTTTTGTCATGTGTAAAATCAGCTGTCATTTACAGGAGGCCAACTTAGCAAAGCTGTAATATAAGGCAATAGCTACAAGACCGTTAGGGTGGACACTGTATGTAACTTATAAACCAAACATTTATAGGGAGTAAACGGTGATCCACACATGTTCTAAATACAGCAGCTATGAACCATTCATGAGCATCTACTTCATTATTGCATAAAACGTATTTCCTATGTAATCATGTTTTGTTTCAAATTCAAGTACTAGTTGTCCACTCAACAGAATACAACTGGAACTAACACACTTCAGGGGGGATTGACAGAACTATGCACATGTGGCTCCTCACACATCATGAGGACGAACTAAGTGGGGCTCCCTTCCTTGTTTTTCAGTGATAACAGGGCCTGATGCAGGGGCAACACAGGAGCAGTGAGAAATGCATGCTAAACAAAACTGTGGGGAAGTGTAGAGTGCAGATGCTAGCATCTGCCTTATTTCCTCTTAAGATCAAAGGGACCAACATGCCAGGCAGCTGACTAGGGTTAAACAATTAAATACACCATATGGGTCAAACTTTTTAGTCTAGACTAGGACGCCAAGTCCTTGGCCGAATACTGCACAGTACTCTAAGATGAGTCCAAATGAAGACAAAAGCACATATCACACCTCTCGTAAGTTATCTTTAAGTTGCTGTTCAGCACGGAGAACTCCACCAATAGCAAGCTCCAAGTCCCTCCTTGCATCACTACACCTCAAAAGAGGTTCTTTGTTACTGGAGCAGCCACTCTGGTCCTGGAGGGTGTTCATTCTGCTCACTGTTCCTTAAAAAGAGAAAAGAAAGTCCAAATAGCAGGCTATTTATAACCCCAAACCACCTTTCCATCCACATTCAAATGATCATTCCACCAGTTCTCATTAATGACCTACCCAGGACCCAGCACACAGGACATTCAATGCATAATGCTTCTTCCACCTCCTCTCCTCCACCTCTGCTCTTGCTATAAAATTCTATACATATTTTTTATAACACTTTAGATGTGAATATGTGTATCAGAAAAAAGTGGTGCTGTGGCTCAAATGGTAGAGCACTCACCTTGACCTGAAGAGCTCAGGAACAGCACCCAGGCCCAGAGTTCAAGACCCATGACCAACCCCCACCCCCAAAAAGAGGTAAATACTTGCACTTGACTAAGAGCAACAAACCAGAAATTTTTTTTTAGGCCTCCTTAAAATGTTTTTGTTATTTTAAAGGTGATGTACAGAGGGGTTACAGTTTTTTTTCCTTCCTTCCTTCCTTCCTCCCTTCTTTCTTTAGAATGGAGATCTACCACTGAAAGAAAGCCCCATGTAACTCGTACTGTGTCAAATCTGAGGAAAACTTACATACTATTTGGTTGCATTTACCAAAAGTCACAGGAATAATTTGTTCTGTGATAAGACTCAAGTTTATTTGTGGGTAACATACCTCAGGGGAGAGGGTGCTCAAAAAAGGGAAATTGACCTCAAACCCATGAAAAACTTCTGCAGAAAGGAAGGCTGTTTGGCCTAGATAAGAGGTAACTACCCTCCCAGGACATGGTTACTACTCTCAAATATTTGGACACCTGATAAATGAAAGAATTAGGCTTGCTCAGAAGAGCTCTATTAGGCAAAAGGATTTCAGAAGACATTATCAGATCACCCATGAAGAACATTCTAACAGTCCCAAAGACAACCACCTCAGACAAAGCCCTCCAAATAGCTGGCTGACCATCTGAGACAAAAGGAAACCTGATTTATCTCCACTGTGTCTTCAAGATGGGGTTTAGAGCTCCCAGCATAGTGGGGGGCGGGGGGGGGAGGTGCCAAGGACAAAAGTAGCAAGAGTCACACTCTTAGATGTAAACTGATGGACACCAGGCACTGGTGACTCACCCCTGTAATTCCTAGCTGCATAGGAGGCTGAGATCTGAAGGTCAAAGTTCAAAGCCAGCCCCAGGTAGGAATTTCAGTAAGACTTATTTCTAGCTAACCACCAGAAAAAAAGAAGTAGAGCTGTACTTCAAAGTGGTAGAACACCATCCTTGAGCAAAAAGAAGCTTAGGGACAGCACCCAGGCCTGAGTTCAGGCCCATTAACATCCAAAAATAAAATAAGAAAAGAAACTGATGGGAGGACAGCTGAACAGCCTTTCTTTCAACGATCTCACCAAAAAAAAAAAAAAAAAAAAAAAGCCAGCAGCTTCAGAATTCAAGACACTCCAAAGTTCCCCTGCTACTTCTGCTTTTTTTTAGTTTCCCCACAGTGCCCCAAAAGATAACTTCCTCAATTCACTCTGTCAGGAGTTTCTGTGGAATTTTTCTGACCTTGGCAACAGCTGTGCTTACTCCACTGACTGTCACAAGTAAGTAGCCTATGGAACAGCAGGGGCATGTACACTCTGCACACATTGTAGGCACTTTGAAAAGCATCTGACTGCACAGGTAGATGTCAGCCAGAGGTGTGGAGAGCTGGGGTTACCTCATTACCCAGCCATACTCTGTGTCATGCGAAGTGTGCTTAGCTGTCTTTCAAATGCAGTAAACTCTTCAATGTGGTAAAGATCACTTGTATGGAATACCACCATGGCTGCCAAGGTCAAATCTAATAAAATTGTCAAAAACCCTAGAACACTGAACAGACAGGAGCTAACTGAATGTAACCAGGGCAGACTACTTACTAAACAAATCTCTTCAAACACAAGTGCTGTATAACTGCCTAACCAGAGACTACAGTCAAAATAGTATGGTGGACTTTCCCCTTATCAGCTATGGGCAGAATGTACCACAATATTAAAAAATTTCAAAATGGATTCGTAGTGTTGCTTTTTAATCTCAAAGTATTATCCTTCAAAACAGTCATTTTGTTAGAGTATAGGTCTTTCTTGGGGTTGGGGGGTAGAAGTCAGTTCTGGGGCTTGAACTCAGGGCCTCAGCTCTTGCTTGGCTTTTTTGTTACCACTTGTCCTACACCTCTACCATGGAATTTCCTGCCCCAGGGTGGCTTTGATCCTCAGAGCTCAGCCTCCTAAAACAGGAATACACAAGTGAGCCATCAGTACCCAGCTAGAATATTGAGTTTTTAAAGCCCAACTGTCAGCCACTAAGAAAACCTGTCTTTGTGGCCACTCCCAGAATGTCTGGCACTCTTGCTGGCTCAGTCTTCCCCTCCCAGTCAACAGTTGACTTCATTAGCCCAGGTACCAAGAAAGGAGGGATGCAAAGACTTGTCATTACTGGTACTGTGATAAAGAGGGAACGTTCAGATCTAAGATTAAGAAGACTACTACAAGGCCAGCTCAGAACATGAGTTTGAGCCAACTTTGGGAAGACACACACTTAAGGGTAATAGCCCACGCAGTTGTTTTCAACAGTAACTGACTGACTGCTTCAGGTCCAAGCATAGCAAACAAGCCAGCTAAAAGATGGCTGACAACCTGACCTCAGGCTATGTTTACTGCTTACACCTCAGGTGCTCCTAACAACCTCTCTGATCTTTTTCCTCTGGAAAAAAAGAGACAATGATACTAGTATCAAAAGACAAAATCACATCAACTTGCAGATCTTAATTGGCTTTTTTCTGTAATTAGGCAATATTCCATAAAAGACAAGTGTTTCAAAGGGCTGAGCAAAAGAGGTTGTTTTTAGAACAGGCTGAAGTTGTGTTCCTGTGAGGAGGGAAAGGGTTAGAACAATGAGGAAAGAACCTACATCAGTTTATTTTATGTCACTTCTTTGTGTAAGGATTAAAACAGAGGGAACTTAATATCATGCCAACTAATGCTGGCCTGGGGAAAAGTTGACTAGGTTCTCGTTCTACTTCACACTTCATGTAAGGTTATCAAATAACAATTTCAGGTTGGCAATGAGAAAATTTAGCATGAGCAATTCCATTTGATTTTCAGCATGTTGAAATCTATGCATAGGTCTAAGTCTTCTTTAACTTGAATTTAACCAAAGCTACATAGAAAAGAGTGCACTGGGGTAACGAGAGACCTTAACTGCCTCTAAGCACTTACCCAGCCCCTATGTGCTGACTTACTCCAATTGTTAGCTTCATAATTGGTACTAATAGGTGTTTAAAGCCAATCAAGACCTTGGGATGACCTTCACTGTATAGAAAGCAGAACGAACCCAATCTGGCAAGGCCTTCCCCACCAGGACACCCTGACTTAAGCCACTGACCCTGGCATCCCAGGCTACCACTTGCCCTTTCAAAACCTAACTTCTAAGAAAGAATAACAATATAAACTCACACTTAGTGGTGCTTCTGTAATAAAAAATGCTCCCTGGCTGGGCAGGTTGCTCCATGATAAGAGTGCTTGTCTTATAGGCATGAGGCCCTGGGTTTGTTTCCTCAGTACCACATAAGCAAAAAAGCTGGAAGTGACCCTGTGACTCAAGTGGTAGAATGCTAGCCTTGAGCTGAAGAGCTGAGAGACAGCACCCAGGCCCAGAGTTCAGGCCCCACGACCAACAAAAAATAAAAAATAAAATTAAATAATGGCTCCCATCCATTCTTTACCTATATAATATTTCAGAATGAAGCCCTCTTATGACCAAAAACTTAACAGCCTAAATCTCCTAAGATATATCAAACATGTATACTTTTGTCTGTTTTCTTACCTGCACAAAGACTGAGCCAACTTAATTCTAAAAATTGCTAAAAATGTCCTTTTGTTCACCTCAATAATCCAAACTACTGCCTTAGCACGTCAAAGTAGGGTTGTCTGAAATGTTTATTTTTTGAGACACATTGATTTGAAAACTTCCCTATTACTAGGATCCCTGTGCTTATGCTTTAGAGTAGAGGGAAAGAGTAAAGGAGAGGAGAGAACAGACCCTTCCCACAAACTGGAGGAAATGGAGTTTCATCAACAGGTTTTTTTTTTCTATAAAATGTACATGTCTCACTTAGACAATGTTTTCACAGAACTAGTTATGAAGGTCAAAGATCTTGGAACCTACATTGAGCAACTAACCACAAATGAAGCTAAGTCATTATAAGGTTCAACCACAAAACTCCCTCCAAACTGTGACTATTTTGTAAATATATAACCCACATATAAAGACAGCAAATTTGCTGGGGGTGTGTGTAGCTCAATTGGTACAGCATGTGTTGAGATGCTAGAGGTCTTTGGTTCAATCTTCAGTAGAAATAGTAATAATAATAATAAGCTATCTCTTATGTAAGTGACACCTTAAGGCCCAGGGTCACTGCCATTAAAGATCTAGTCTGGGTTCTCAAACCTAATGGGCTTCTCCTTCTTTTAGTGCATTATCAAATTAATTTACTCGACATCAGCAGAATTTAAATTACTACTGAAACTTCTTTCCTAAAGACTTATAGTCTGTTTTCACATTTCTCAATAAACTATGGTTCTTCAGAATCATCTGTCTTGGGTAACACTACAAAAACACCTAGTATAGGCATAGTAGCTACACGCAGAAGGCTGGACTGAGGTTAAATTCTGCCAAGTGGAGCCAGTTAGGACGGCAGCCTTCAGGACCCATCAAAATTAGTTCTGGGGGCTGGGAAGGTGGCTCAGTGATAGAGCGCTTGCCTTGCATGCCTGAGGCCCTGGGTTCGATTCCTCAGCACCACATAAGCAGAAAAAGCCGGAAGTGGCGCTGTTGCTCAAGTGGTAGAGCATTAGCCTTGAGCTGAAGAGCTGAGGGACAGGGCCCAGGCCCAGAGTTCAGGCCCCACGACCGGACCCCCCCCCCAAAAAAAAATCAGTTCTGACGGCCGCTCTGGCCTGGCTCCGGACTGGCCCCGGGCTGGCGTGCCCTCTGTGCCCCGGCGGGATCAGTGTGCGTACATGTGTGTTCCGCTAACCTCCACACCTCACGGCCTGGCAGGAGGCCCAGCTCCCCGCGGGTGTGGCAGGGCTAGATGAGACGGTGGTAACTTACTACAGGTTAGCGCTCGGGTTTCTTCACGAATCTCGTAAAAGTTAACTGCAAAACTGAAAACCGACCACAAAATTCTACCATCGAATGACAGAATTACGAAGGCGTTTCTGGTTCAAAAACTAGAAAACTAACGGCAAAATTAAGCAAGAGTGACTCGGGCGGCTTCCTAGGCCTCTCACCGCCCCTCGCAGGAGCAGCGCGGAGGAACCGCTCGTCCCGCTCTCCACCGCCGCAACCGTGGGTTCGCGGCCGCCACGCGCGTGCGCAGGAGCGCAGCCCCACCCCCGCACGCCAATCCCGCAGACGGCGCCGGGGACCAGGGCCCGCGGCGGCCCGGTGCGGGACCCCTGCCTACCTGGGGCGTCGGACCCGCCTGGGCGCTGTCCCTACCTGAGGCGGCAACCGTGCTCCAGCCAGTGCCTGCCTGGGTCGTCGTTCCGAGGAGCAGCCGCTTCCCAGACACGGCCCCTTTATTCCCGAGGGCGTCCGCAGGTCGAGCCTGAGTCCCGCCCCGTCCCGCCCCGCCCCGCTCCGCTGTGGGCGGAGCTGCTGCTTCGGCCGCCCCGCCCGCCCGGCTCACCACCCGCAATGCCCCACCCGGCCTGCACCCCAGATCCTTAAGACGCGTCGGTGTTCGGGGCACTGCGGGGCCGTGGTGAGGCGGCCAGCAGGCGGGGAAGGACCGCCCTCGCCGTGCTGTTCCTGGCTCCCGTCCCCTCACCCGGAGACACTGCCACCTGCAACCCAGTCACGTTCCCCTCCCCCCATTCAGCCCGCGTGCGCGTGCGCGTGCGCGTGGCCTCAGGCCTCCCAGAGGACAACAGCGCACCGGCGGCTGCCCAGCCCAGCTGCAGGTTTCCGGACACAGCGGAGAGCTGGGCTGCCCATTAAACCTGGCGCCCTCGCTTAGAAGCTGCCGCACCTTAGCTATCTACCTGTTAGATGGGAGGAACATGGGCTAAAATTCATGGAAACTTTATGACCTTCATGAAAATGTTTAGGCCACACAGGTACACAGTACTACCCGAGGGCTACCATGCTCATAAACTAGTCTGCCCACTGCCCAAAGATAAACCTTAAAGCCTGTATATCCTAGCAAGCCAAGAAAACAATCTAGACAATATTGTCCATCTTAGTACCCCCCCACATTTTTTTTTTTGGTCAGTCGTGGGGCCTGAACTCTGGGCCTGGGCGCTGTCCCTCAGCTCTCCAGCTCAAGGCTAGTGCGCTATCACTTGAGCCACAGTGCTACTTCCACCTTTTTCTGCTTTTGTGGTGCTGAGGAACCCAGGCCCTCAAGCATGCTGGGCAAGCACTCTACCACTGAGCCACCTTCCCAACCCCCATTCTAGTCCTTTTTTTTTTTTTTTTTTTTTGAGACAGGATCTCACTATGTAGCCCAGGCTAGCCTCAAACTCAATCCTCCCGCCTCAGCTTCCGGCTTGCTAGGATTTCAGACATCCCAAGCTTTATACAACTATTCCTAGTTTTGTTTTGTTTTCCTCAAACAAGACAAAACTAGTATGAGTGTTGCCACTGAAATTCTAGAGAGTGGGGTAAAGTGTTTCTAGGCAGCCAGACCACAATGCTCAGCCCAGAAGCTCCACAAATAACAGCAGGTTTATGAGCTAGAGAAATATTTATTTTCCTCAAACTTTGCAGTCCACAGAAATTTCAATTGACATCAATAAAAAGGTTGGTAGGCTTTCAAAACTGGGGTCATGACCTATCTTCAATGTGAACATCTTGCCTTAAGACAGTCAAGAGCTGGAAAACATGTTACTTATGTAGCTTCACCAACAATACCATTTTATCCCTGGTTTCATATAATAAATCCCTTGTGGTTTTCTCCACAGAAGCAAACAAGTGATAAAGTATTTTCCTTCCTCTAAAGTCTGGAAGACCAAAATAATGCGCCAAAATGAAACTCAAAACATACCTGACATTATGTTCTTTTGAGAGCTGTAATTAATTGTCCAAGTATTAAGGGACTGGACTTCCTACTGGAGACTAAAATTGACAAACAAGCCAAAACCCTTTACAGTTAATCCTTTTGTCAGTTATTCATAGTTGGTTGAACAAATTGTCACATCTATAGAACACTAGAGTTAATGCTAGGCAGGAGGAATCCTAAGACTCAATGTTCTGTAACACAATCCTAGCCCCCAAAAGGAACCTGTCGGTTCCACTGTACCATCAAGTTAAGAAAACCCAGGAATGGCAACTTCAGATAAGAATAGCTAAGGGTGTACAGTGCATCATGCCAGGTGAGTAAAAGCAGTGCCCTCAGAATAATTATTTTGTCCACTTACCAGGGATGTATCTAATTCAGGAAGTGGGCATGACATGTTAAGATCTGAAGCAGTGTAGGCTTGAGTGCAAGTCTACCAATGATGACTACAGTGCTGTGATTTAACAATAAACAGGTGGGTGGACACCATGGCAGCTCTGACAAGCACAGTGCTCTACTAGGTGCTCTTCTAGGTGCTCTATTAGGTGCTCTACTAGGTGCTCTATTAGGTACTCATACTACTTGCAGCACCCAAGTGGATGCTGTTTTGACCTTCCTTGGCTAGACTTCTACACTGTTAATATGTGGTCTATGTTGAGACAATGTATATTTACCAAGAATGAACACAAAGCCAAAGTGGAAACTTTGGACAGAAATATTAGAAGAGCTAAAAAGGAGCAGAAAGAGTAACAAATGCTGTGGACACCTATGATTCTCTCACCAAGCAGAACTTAATCCTAAAGTTTACACATAGACTGTTTTTGTTTTGTTTTGTTTGTTGTTGCTGTTGTTGTTTAAAACAAAGTCTGGCTGTGTAGCCCAGACTAGCCTCAATCTCATCATCATCATCCAATCTCAGCCTCTCAAATGCTGAGATTATGGGCAAGCACCATCACATCCAGTGGTTGGTCCTCCTTTTCTGGTGGGGCAGTACTGAGACTTGAACTCAGGGCCAAAGTGCTCTCCCTTAGCTTTTTTGCTTAAGGCTGGGGCTCTACCATTTGAGGCACTTCTGATTTTTGGTGGTTAGTTGGAAATAAGAATCTCACAGACTTTCCTACCCAGCCTGCCTTCAAACCATGATCTTTGATCTCTGTATCCTGAGTAGCTACAATTACAGGTATGAGCCACTGGGCTGAGTAGGTTGGTCACTTTGCTTGCCTTTCACAGCTAACCAACATGTGAACAGAGGCACTGAATTCACTGCTGAATTTAGCATTGTTTTTGAAAGGGCTCTCTCTTTACTCCCCTCCCTGTCATATACTTCATTATTCTCTATAGTACATATCACAATCTGACATATAGAAACCATTTATCTTCTGTTCCATCTCCAGAAAAAAAAAAAACTACAAGGTAAGTTGCACATAGGCAAGGACTTTATCTCTTTGTTCCTTGCTATGCAGTTATTTGCTATAGAGTTACTTCCTAAGTGAATAAATTCTGCAAATATTTAAATCTAGCCTAATGTGTACTAGAAGTTTTTCCTTTTTTAGACAGTTTCTCAGTTAGTCCTCACAAACCTTTAAGGTATTATTACCATCAAAAAAACAAAAACAAAAAAAGATACCAGTTGCTGGTGGCTTACACCAGTAATCCTATCTACTCAAGAGGATGAGAGCTCAAGATCATAGTGTAAAGCCAACCCAGACTGGAAAGTCCATTAGCTTCATTTCCAACTAGCCACCAAAAATCCAGAAATGGAGCTCAAGTGGTAGAGTACCAGCTTTGAGCAAAAAAGCTAAGGGAGAATACCTTGGTCCTGAGTTCAAGCCCTAGTATAAGCACACACAAAGCAAGACTTAACAAGGTTAAACATATTGCTTACAGTAACAAGTTTCCAAGTAGAAAAGCCAAGATATAATCCCAAGTCTGAGTCAAAAGCCCCCAGCCACTCAGGTTCTTTAAAGACCTGATTAAATACTTAGTATTTAATTACTGGTGGCTTACCAGTAATCCTGTCCACTCAGGAGGATGAGATCTTAAGATCATAGTGTAAAGCCAACCCAGACCTAACTAACCCAGGCCTAAACCACTTACTGTTTACTAATGATATCTGGTAAATCTGCCATCTAGAAGACAATTTATCATTCAATAACCAACCAAAAGTAGAAAATACTATTTTTTTAAATAAGAGAGTTATTTTTGAAAGAAGCCCAGCAGCAGCAATTGACTGAATTCCTTCCAGTATGCTAAGCTGTATGAATAAAAGTACAATGCTAGGAATCACTAACAAGAGGCTCTCAAATAGAGAATGTGTTTAGTCCATGACATTTATGAAAACCCTGCAGTTTCCTAAGATTCTAGCACAGTTGTACTCAATAAAATGCAAATAAGAGTAGGAAGTCCTTTGTAATTCTAACAGCTCTGACAGACTACCTTCTTTTATCATTGTGCTTTTCCACTTTTGAAAATATTTTCCCAAGAGGAATAATGTAATTGTAGAAATTTATTTAAATAAAATATGATAAAAACTTTCAACATCTAGCACTTTCCCTAGAAACCCAAGACAAAGACTCAGAGAAAAGTAAACAGAGAAACAAAAGGTAAGGGAAATTATTGTCCTAAGCAGTAACATAGGTGAAGTTACTCATGTCGATCTCATTCTTTCTCTGAACAATTCCATGAGCTAGAAAAGTCTTGAAAAGAGCAAATCAAGGCCAGGCACTAAAGGCTCATGCCTGTAATCTTGGCTACACAGAAGGCTGAGATCTGAGGATCATGGTTCAAAGTCAACCCCAGCAAACAAATCCAAGAGACTCTTATTTACAATTAACAAGCCGAGCCATGAGTGGAGGTGTGGATCAAGTGCTAGAGCACTGGCCCTTAAGCTAAATTTAAAGCCAAGGGACAAAGGAGAAGTGCCCAGGCCCTGAGTTTAAGCCCCAATATGATTTAAAAAAAAAAAAAAAAAAACAGAGCAAATCAAGTAACATTACTGAGCCACAAATAGTAAATGAATGTCCCTCCATTTATAAAGTTCAAAAATGTCACAGGAGGATCCCAGTACAGAAATAAGCCAACTATGACTGTCTGTTCTGTTCTCACTCAGGGAAGTTAACTCCAGTTTTATAGCCATATTCCAAATTACCAAGTGAATGAGGGAACATCAAGTCCATCCAAAAGCAGCTATTATGGCAAACCTTACCTGCCAACACAAACTGGCCTGATACATTTTTTAAAAGATGAACTCTAAACTAGCATTCCGACTTCTGTTATCCCTGACTGCATCCACCCATGACACATCCTTGACATTATTACTATTCCCACCATCAGAATTCAGGGCTTGTTCTCTATTGTTTTCTTAATTGCTACATTCACAACACTCTGAGCCTACAGCAATGAATAAATTAGCATTTTGAAATGAATGATTGCTGGTACAATAAATCAATGAATGAGCAAGCTTTTTCTTCTTAGCTGCCAAAGGGAGAAAAATCATACTACTTTTAGAAATTGTTG